TCTTTATATCTCCGGTAATATTGAAAGCACAAAAAACGCAGACCACTTTTTGGAAATGCCAGGGCTAGGAGAATTATGTGATAATTGTTTCAAGAATCATACATGTTATAGTAGATAGTAGACTAAATGTCACAAATAAATTCAAATACCAAAGACGACTTTCAAGTCGTCTTGCTATTGTCATGTTTCTTGGGACACCCTGTAGCTTTGGTGAAAAATGGGCATTTATTTGGGAATTAGATTGATAAAAATTAAATTTTGGTTTCTGGATGTAAATATATGTTCATTGTTACTTTATTTGACAATACTCAACATAATTTCCATGGAAACTGAGCCCATATTTGGGATTAATTAACTTAAAAGTTTGGTTCATGAGCGTCAAATAACTTTAAATGTAACATTACATAATGTAACAGTACATAACGTAACATCCTTACCTTACATAACGTAAAGTGGGTACGTTTTTATGTTCCAGAAAGTAAAACAGCTAGGTTAATCAACTTTAATGAGCCCTTACAAGAAGGATATGTAACGTTCTGATAACGTTGTTTAGTTTGCTGGGAAGAATAGTTAATTTTGTTTACAAAATTGAAAGATAATTGATATAAGTAATTACTAAAGTAAAATGTAAATTGTTTCAATAAACAAATAAATAATTAACTTAAAGTGATTTTTCAACAAACTTTTTTCTTTTTTTGGTGTTTGGGGAATTGAGGGGGGAGGAGGATATAGACTAATTCAAAAATATTGGAAATCTTACTCATCTGCAGAAATTAAAAAAATTTATACGAATTGGTTAAGCTTTTCATTAGACAAATTTGTCATAATTTATACAACAAAACAATATTTTTTATAATGAAATAAAAATAAAAGTATTATTAATTGAATACCTAAAGAAATTATTTCCTATATTTTTTTTTTTTAAGATTGAGCCCGGTATTTTAAAAGACGACTTTCTTTTCAGAGATTGCTTTTTGTTCAAATGCTTGTTCTATGACCCGGTCTAAGTCGTCGACCAATATGAAGTATATAGAATTGGAACGGCATCTCTGCAGACCACTAATTTTCAATTTAAAACCATTTAATTTCTAATATTTTTATCATTAAATCTTTATTTTAAAACTTTTGAGAGAACGAATAATCTTTTTAATCTCCCAAAAACAAAATATAAAAAAGATTAAATGAACGCGGTCTGTGCGCAGACCAGAACTTTGTTTGGAAACCGGTTCTACACTCCATCAAACCCGCCAAATATATGGCGCGTACGCATTTGTAGTGCAACATGAGCACTTGTTGACGCGCAGTCCGTGTGATTTGTTCTCCTGAAACGTCCACCTTTATTGCAACATCTTGTTTTGGGGTACGGGAATACTTATTTTTTTATTACACACCACCCGTGACGAAATTATAAAGCATCAAAATGGTATAATTCTAAAATCTTTCAGAATTTGATTTGAGAAAAATGTCTGAAGAAGAATATGAGGTCGAGGTTATAGTAGATAAGAGAGTAAGGAAAGGGAAGGTAAGGTTTGTTTGTCAAATAACTCGATGATTGGCTTGTAAGGGCAATACTCAGAGAATATTTAGTAAGATACCGAGTTAATTTTATTTTTGACTTGATTAGGCAACAATTTAAAATTATTCGGGTCTGTCCTATTGAACGATTTTTGGACCCCAGCCCCCCTCCCCCCACCCTCCTATCAATTTTGTACATGACCAAATAAGTGTTTATTTAGCATTATATAGGGTTAGGTTAGGCGAAGACACTTTCTGGGCCGAGCGCTGCGGTCACGGGTTAGGTTAAGTTGAGACACTTTCTTTAAGATCCATGTACAAAATGGATAGGAGGGGGGGGGGGGGTCCAAAAATCGCTCTCAAGGAATTTCCCAATTATTCAAGCACTTTAAGTCCGACTTTATATTTTTTGTGTGTGATGAATTATTTTTGGTTCTCAATAAAGATGAGATTAGATTAGTTTGAAAAAGCATTAATAGGTAATTTCCTCGAGAACTATTTTTGTGTAATTTCCTAGAGAACGATTTTCTAGAGCGCTCGGCCAAGAAAGTGGCCTAACCGAACCCTAAATAAATATTTATTTAATTGAAAATTGTTGAAAGATAAAGTCATGTACAAAATTGATAGGAGGAGGGGGGTCCAAAAATCGCTCTCCAGGACGGACCCCATCAATATAAATTTTCAAAGTATAGGTAATTTCCTAGTATACGATTTTTGGCCCCCCCCCCTCTTTCCTCCTATCAAATTTGTACATCTTTTTTATCGATTTTCAGATAGTTTTTAAAGATACACATGGGAAAAGTTGGTGTTGTGGCCGAAGCGCCCGGCCCATCTAAAAATAGTTCTCTAGGAAATAACCTGATGATTAAGCTAACATACTTACTTAACAAAAATTACAACTAACTCATGGAAAGCAAATAACAATTTGTGAAGTAAGTCGTCTGCTAATGTATATGAAGCAGTGTGGTTCCCCCAGGCCCACTTAATCTTGAGTGTAATTGATGTTATAAATATGTAAATATTGAAAAAGTTTTTAAGGAATTGTAGGCGTAATTCCAAGTGACCCTCCATATAAAGGTAGCAATGCCCAATTTACAATGGTACCCATGATTATGAGTATTCTGATCATAGATGTTGTATTATAACATGTATAACGTCGTTCTTCTTAAACTTAAAGTTTTTAATTCATAAAATATCACCGTTGTTTCTTACAAGCGAGAAGCGAGATTTTCGTATTTTGCAAGTCACTTTTAAGGAAATCCAAGATTGAACTTAAACATTTTGAATAACAAAAACTTATATTTCAGCAGACAAATCTTTCAAGGATACTGTTGTACATCTGCCATTGTCATCTTTGCGCTTACATTCCTTTTAATTTCATTTCATATTATTTGATTAAGGTTGAATATCTGGTGAAGTGGAAGGGATGGGAGAACCCTGATGATAACACCTGGGAACCAGTTGCTAACCTAGACTGTAAGTAGTACAGGGGTCAATATTTGCTTGATAAATTATTAACCTCTCATTTTTGACGAACATTTTACTCCCCCCAAACGTCAGGTACGTTTAGGGTTGAATTTGCTGAATTCTGAAATATAAATAACTAGCCTTAGAGGGCGCTTCGCGCCCAACTTCTAAATTAATTGTGAACATGTTCTCTTTGTGTACATCGTAAAACAAAACAAAAATAATTCGCGGATTTTCACAACAAATTTCGTGGATTTTCAAAATTTTCAAAAATTTAATGAAGATCGAATTTTGATGCAGACAAATATTTAAAATATCAATCATTCATAAACCTTCCCTGGGGTCACGTGATGTCCCACAAAAAATTTGGGCCCGATCGGTTCAGCCGTTTTGACGTTTATTGGATACAAAAAGATAGACAAACAAACAGACAGACAAGCCAAATTTATATATAGATTTAGTATTTACATCTGAAGTGTAGTTCACGTACACAAAAAACTTGTCAAAGTTCACAATAATACAGAAAATGTATTTTCATGCTCCTAAATGTACCTTCAACCCCGATTCTATTTGGGATCAGAAATGGAATTTTATGAATTAATATTCATAAATTATACTATATTCGCTGAAACTTTTATCAGTGATTTGAAATATTATTTAGGTCCGGAGCTGATATCTGCATATGAATCTAAAAATAATGATTCCGGGTCTCAGTCCAGTGGTGAACAGGTACAAGGGCTTCAGGGGAATTTCAGTATTCAAGGGGTTTATATGTATTAAATGAGTCCACCTGCATTTAAATGGTTCAACGGACTGTAAAGGAAAATGAAAGGGGGTATAGGCTGAAACCTAGGCCTTTTAGAGGTTCATCGAGACCCATTAGAGTTCTATCTGATGTTCCTGTATTCAGCAAATACACTGTATCACGTCTGTATCACGTTACAATTATACTGCACTGCCATTGGATTGAGTTCTGGTCCCGTGACACGGACGTATTAATTATATTATCAATAATTTCTATAGAAATGAAATTATTAAGTTCAACTTCAAATAATAGGAGAAAACCCGAGTTTTTGAGGCTCCTCTGGGATATGGTCGATTTCAGATTGGTTGCGTATTTGCGGAATTCGATTTTTATACAATATTTTGTATATAAATTTGACACAGTTGTATACCAACTTCTCGAGGCAGAACATCAGATAGAACTCTGAAGGGTCTCAATCACCTCCTAAAATGCTCAGGTTTCAGCCTATATCCCCTTTAATTTTTCCTTTACAGTCTCTTTAACCAGCATTTCGGGGGTCAGCTTCAGTCGGATAGGTTTATCTTCATTATATATTAACTTGTTATATCCTTTATATGCTATTTATTATAATTTACAAAGTTTAATAAAACAGATTTTGTTTTAGAAGAAGAAAGTTGATAAGAGAAAATCCTCTGATTCTGAATCACAGGAATCTGCCAAAACCCCGAAGGTGAAGGACGAAGCAAGACCGAAAGGTAATAAAAATCCATATCTTGGATTTATACAATACAGGAAAGGATCCAAAATCCTCATATTAACAGCTAGATATTTTGCCTGTTTAAAAATTAAATAAGGAAATTGAACGGCTCTGCATCTCAATCAGATTTTCGTAATTTGGCACTGATCCAAAACAAAACACAATAAATCAATATTGATGGGTGTTATTTAAACAAGAACCTTTTCCAATTACAGAAGAAACTAAAGCGAAAACCTCGAGTAAAGCTTTAATTTGATAATTTAAATCTTCCTTTAAAGGGTCCGTTATGTATCCAGCATTGCCATCTTTTTATGGTGGATAACTTAAAATTGCGTTTAAGTTCCTTTAATGAGTGAAATACCAAAAAGTAAAAGATTAATGGAAGGGCGCAAAGTAACACTAATAATTAATCCCTGCTGTATTCAGGTTTCGGACGAGGTTTGTCTCCGGAGAAGATTATCGGAGCAACCAATGATCCCGGAGAGCTTTACTTCCTCATCAAGGTATTTTACCGCCTTTTGACCAACGTTACCGACCCATGATTTCCTCCAACAAGAGGGACGTCTAGTTACTTGGGAAAATCAAGTAAAATAAGCCGCTGTGGGAAGTTTTTGTGAAAAAATTCGCGCATTTTTATTTGAAATGACGAAGAAATTTTACTCAACCGCGGGTTCCCTCGACCAATTATGCCAACAAAACATCCCTCGCTGCGCTCTGGATGGTTTGTAAGCAAAATCGGTCTTGGCAACCCTTGGTAAAGTAAAATTATTCTGTCGGGGATGAATGGGTTTTAATTTTCCTGCATAATCCCAAAACTCTTCAATTATTTCTCACGATGTTGCACAGGGAGCGAAAAACACTGTCGACATTTGTAATTTGAAATGCACGAATGTAAATAAAAATTCGCGACATTTGATTTTGTAGAACGGAGAAAAAAATCGTGACTTAAATAGCATCAGCTTAAAGCTAAAAGTTAAAATTGTTTTTAGAAAGGGGGGTGGTGGGGGGGCGAAGAGCCTAGAAAGGTTTAAATGTTATAAATGCATTTTAAAGATTGATTGTAGTTGAAAGATATTGTATTTAATGTTTTGTTTGTAGTGGAAAGATATTTTATTTAATATCTTGATTGTAGTGGAAAGCTATTGTATTTATTGTTTTGTTTGTAGTGGAAAGATATTGTATTTAATGTTTTGTTTGTATTGGAAAGCTATTGTATTTGATGTCTTGTTTGTTGTAAAAAACTATTGTATTTAATGTTTCATAGTAGTAGAAAGATATTGTATTTAATGTTTTGATTGTAGTGGAAAGATATTGTATTTAAAGTCTTGATTGCAGTGGAAAGCTATTGTATTAATGTTTTGATTGTAGTGGAAAGATTTTGTATTTAATGTTTTGATTATAGTGGAAAGATGTTGTATTTAATGTTANTGTATTTAATGTTATATAGTAGTGGAAAGATATTGTATTTAATGTACTAATTGTAGTGGAAAGGATCTGAAGAGGCCGACCTAGTTCCTGCCAAGGAAGCTAACGTCAAGATCCCCCAGGTCGGTTATATTTACAACGGGGGTGTACCTTCAATCTATATGAATAAAAGTAATCTCTTGTTTGTTTGTTTTTCCGATCAAAACTCAAGTACCCCTGGACTGATTTGTCTCAAATTTTTATTTGGGAACTCGGAAGAACCACGGGAATAGTTTAAAAGCAAAAATGTAGTTTCCGTTAAAACCAACCAAGTGCGGGTAAAAGTCGTGAGTAATTTTGAGTTACCTGGGCAACGCTGGGTTCGCAAGCTAGTACTAATATATTCAGAAATTTTCAGAAATCCAATTCTTTTTTTTGTGTTCGTTTTTATTGTCTTGTAGTTATGGAGAAGAATTTATTTTTGCAATTTGAAAATATGCTCTTTTTAACATTCATTCTGAAATAAAAGTATTATTTGTTCTGCCGATATTTCTTTCCATTTTTTTGACCGTATACATTTTTAGGCTTTTGTCAATTTCCGAGTAGGATTAGTTAAATTTTCATATGCGCGGAATTAAACCTGTAAATAATCTGCCAAAAGTCTGTGTTGAGATTTTGATTTTGACGATTAAACTCAGAAGTTCTGAAATTATAATTGCATTAGTAATGTTATTTTGTTTGATTGATATGTTTTTAGATCGTGATTAAATTTTACGAGGAACGACTGAACTGGTACGAGGACGACAAGTAAAGGTCTCATCCGGCCCGGACCATTGACCATACAGCGATACGAAGCTACCTTTATGAACTTCTTTTTTGTGCTTGAAAATTTGACCTAATGTACTTGATTTTAATTTTTGGATGATTTCAGATTGTTAAAAATGCCTCCTGGGGCGCCTAACTTTGGTCGCATACTCCTAGCGATCAAGTAAGATTTGAGTTGCTAATTAAGTTTTGGGCTTAGATAATGTTGAAGAAATGAGTTTTTTTTCTCACACAAATCAATAGTTGGGAACTGTATCAACATTTTAAGATGGGTATTGATGGTAGGTGGCATTATTGATAAGTAATATTTTTCATATAAACTTTATAATTGTTTTAAACAGGCTGTAAATCACCTTAAATAGATTTTACAATATCCCCATAAAATAGGAACTATTGGAATTTTCACTGAGTTCAGTAGCAACAATCTAAAAACCCAATCGCAAACCCAATTTTCTTCTGGGGAAGAAATTATTATTTAAAGAAGGGGAGAGGGTGTGATTATTTACACCCCTGTTTTTACTAGTAGTGGTATGTGCAGTTCTTTTGGAAGCCTTGTGGTTGTAACTAGAAACATACTTGACATTTTATTATTTTTATTATTATTTTTATTATTTTAGGTTGATATTATTTTATTATTATTTTAATCAGGGATGGCGATGAGTCTAAGAATGAATACTCTCAACTCATTAATTTGATAAGCTCTTCTAAAAGATCCGAAAAGTAAGATTTTTCTTCAAATCAACGCTTAATTCCGAAACCAATAATTAAAAAATATATTCCATTTTCCTTTAAACGTAGGTACCTTTAAATAGTAATTTTTCTTCTAACATGATGAAAATGTATGCGAATAGCTAAAAAATTTAATGCAAGTAAAAAGTATGCAATATGCATGTCCAAAATTTCATTTTCCCCCAATTTTAAGATTTTCTGAAAAATCATTTTTACAAATCAAATAAATTAACAGATATGATTGAAATAATAGTGATAACTAGTTTTATAATTAAGGGTTGGGTTCTCCCTTCATGAAGGGAACAAGGTTCCAATTCTTCAGCTGCTAAACCTTCTCATTCATTCATCTCCTGATGTTAGAAAAGAGGTAGGAAAACAACTACCTCACGTTTCATTTCAACAAGCCCATCAAGCTTGTGATAGGGTATCTTTCGACCTACGCCACATCCGTTATACTACACTTCCGACCTCTACTAGCACGTGGTTTTACATTTGTAAGTCGGATAAATGGCCGCAGCGCCCGGCCCCGAAGCCTGTCCTAGTCGCGGCCCTCGGCCCCCTTGCCTTTCCCAGCCGCAGCGCTCGGCCCAGAAGTTGTCCTAACCTAACCCTCAAATAATACAAAATAAAACAGCTATCGTAGGTCGGAAAACTAGTATGTCAGAAGTTCAGTAGAGAGGATATTGCGTATGGGCGTATGTAATTTTACCCAAGCTTGGATGTCAAAGATGTTTATAGCATATTACTATTACAAAAGGACAACCTGTCGTCTGACCTCATATATAACAGGGTGTCAGAAAAAGAAGCTCTACGTCAAAAATCCATTTTCTGCCCGCAGATGCCTTTAAATAACTGATAAAAGAAGGGGAATTCCCCAGATCAGAAATAGGGTCGGAGGCTGAAGCAAAGAGTACGTACACGATATTGCATTTAATAAAGCAATTTTTTTTGGTTTTCATATTTGACAAATATTTATGAATGTTTTTTAGGCATTCTAATAGACCCTTTATTTAAACCCGCGAGCTAGATTTTACTCTAAATTAGATGAGTAGAAAAACGAAAGTGCGGAAATATAGTATTATTATCACGCCTTAAAATCTTTAACAGAAAAGGGGCATTATTAAATTCAGAAAATCCGCAATTTTATTATTACACTCTTTTTATGCGTTGTTTCCTATTATTCTAATTTAGACATTTTTACTTGTCTCAAAAGCTCATATCTTAGAAAGAATTTTTGAAAGAAAAAAAAATCGTCAAATAAAATTTTGTTCATTATTAAATTTGAGGATTTTCTGTATTTAATTTCGCGCAATTGAGTAAAATATTTTTTCGCGGATTTTAAAAGGATCTTTCAAATTGCCTTGAAAAAAAGGAAATTTAAAACTTTCTTACATATTTATCAAATGAGATTAGCAAAAAAAAATCTGCTATATTATATATTTAGTTTTTATAATGTTTAAGATTTGTCCCAACCCCTCCTGCATATTGCACGTTTTTGATTGAAGTACTGTTCTTTTCTGAGCCTTATCTCAGTTCTGTTTAGGCTGTATCATTGTTGAACTTTTGCTACAGCTACGATGATCTTCCTAATGGTCCTCCTCAAGATATAATAGGTTAGAGAATATTTACAGGGGTTCATTAGGGGTGTATATTTCTCAGAATTACCCCCCCCCCCCATGTAATGATTTTTGATGATCGAGGGAGGGGGGGAGGGGGAAATAAATTTACAATGGGCAACATTTTTCGTTCTTTCTGATATTTTTTACCCGAAAATTCATTGATATTCCACTTCAAATCATTTGTTTTTCCCAAATTCAGCAAATAAAACTCTTAAAATCCCACAACATGTCTGCTATCATTCGTGATGTAAGAGAACTGTTAATTGAATTTTAAATTCACAAAACTTGTTGTTAATGTTTATTATTGTTTTTTGTCGCTCTGATTAAATGAACTTAAAGTTCATACGACTTATTTAGATGAGGATGGATTGGAGAAAGTGGAGAAGATAATATTTCCAGGATTATCTGAACTCCTGCAATCCAGTCGAGATATTTATCTTCTAGATTCATGGGATACAATCATCAGATTACTGGGCACTCATCTTCACAGGAAAACCAGTAAGACCAGGGATAGATATAGCCGTACTGACGGGCATCGTTTGTATTCTGGTCCGTGCACAGACATTCAGGCTTTTTGACGTGCACATAGTCGCCACAAAGTGAGAGTTATTTAATACATTTCAAAATTGTATGTTAGACAAGTTTGCTTTTTTGTCATTATTTTTTCTCGGATCAAAACGAATAACCAAACGATTTTTTTAAAACGAAAAACAACGATTTTAACATTCGTTATGAAAACTCGAAAATTGGTTAATATCTTTTGTCAGAGTAGAAAGTTTCCTTATTGAAAAAAAGCAAACTTGACAAGCAAGCAAGTTTGAGTTAGGACTTTAATCTCAGATTATTGTGGAGCCTCTTAAAAGTCCAAAAACTTCAAATGTTTAAAAACGGACCTCAAAACGATGCCCTTCAGTAGTTTACAGGTAGACTTGAGACAGAGGTTGAACAGTTTACAGGTAGACTAGAGACAGTGGTTGAACAGTTTACATGTAGACTTAAGACAGTGGTTGAACAGTTTACAGGTATACTAGAGACAGAGGTTGAACAGTTTACAGGTAGACTAAGAGACAGAGGTTGAACAGTTTACAGGTAGACTAGAGACAGTGGTTGAACAGTTTACAGGTATACTAGAGACAGAGGTTGAACAGTTTACAGGTAGACTAGAGACAGTGGTTGAACAGTTTACGGGTAGACTAGAGACAGACGTTGAACAGTTTCCAGGTAGACTAGAGACAGTGGTTGAACAGACATGTAGACTTAAGACAGTGGTTGAACAGTTTACAGGTATACTAGAGACAGAGGTTGAACAGTTTACAGGTAGACTAAGAGACAGAGGTTGAACAGTTTACAGGTAGACTAGAGACAGTGGTTGAACAGTTTACAGGTAGACTAGAGACAGAGGTTGAACAGTTTACAGGTAGACAAATAAATAGGCTGACAAATGGATAGGTCAACTTCCTAAAACAGCAGACATGTAGACAAGATAGATAATTCATAGTTAAGTGATTGTTAGTTTGACATATAGATAGGTGACTTAATGATAGTTTACTAACAGATAGTTGACTTATAGGTAGTTGACTTACAGATAGTTGACTAAAAGATGGTTGCCTGAAAAAAGTTGACAGGTTACAAAGTAATAGGAAGACAAATAAAGAGAAACAGATAGACAAACATAATGGATAGGTTAAACGAGTATATATATAATTGAACTATGAAGAAATAAAGACTTGTAGATAGGTAAACTGGTAGATAGGTAGATGCACATTCACAGGTTGATATTAATTGGTAGGCCATATCAAGAGTTAGAAATTAAGAAAAAAATCCGTAGGATTAAGTACATTGTAAATAAATATGAATTTCTAACTATGTACAAGGAAAAGAAGATGAGACTGTACAAGGAGAGATGAACTAAGATAAGGAAGATAGGTTGACGTTGTATGTGAACATAATCTTCCCTCTCCTTAGTTTTATTACTCTTCACTTAAAATTAAGGAAAACTTTGTCGAAATTGCCTAGTTTAAAATATACTTAATTTATTTAATCATAATTTTTTAGCTTTAATCAACGCTGGTATGCGGGTTGTACAAGCAGCATTTAAGCATACTGATGCAAGGATGGTCGAGAAAGCTTTAAGGTTAGTCGACAAACACACTACTCATACTTCATCTTTTCAGCTCATCATTCCCCCCACCCTATCCGCTCTGCGTTCTCTTCCCCCCATATTTCCTCAGTTCCCCTTCCCCTCATCATTTTCTTATCTCCTCATCCCCCCTCAGCTCCTCTTCCATCCCCCCTTATTCCCTAAGCTCATCATTCCTTCCATCCCATTCGCTCAGGTTCCTCTTCCCCCTCATTCCCCCAGGTTCCCCTTCCCCCTAGTTCCCTCAACTCCCCGTCCCCATCCCTTCATTCCTACAGCTCCTCATCCTTCCCCCCCCCTCAGCTCCTCTTCTCTCTCTCTTTCCCACAGCTCATCATTTTTTCCACCCCCATTCGTTCAGTTTCCCCTTCCCCCTTATTCCATCAGCTCCCCTTCCTCCTCCCATCAGCTCCCCTTTCCCACTCAGCTCCTCCTCCCCCTCATCCCCTCAGCTTTTTATATTCTGTTCTTGTTTCTTGAAAATATCAAAGAATATTTCTCAACTAAAAAGGCTTTTAATTTTCAACAAGTGAATACAATTTTGATAAACAAGATTTTTGTGATATCACTAGTTTATTTAAAATTGTTGGCGCAGTTTAAATTTTACTTTCTTGTTTTCTTCAAGATTGATAATATCTCATTGCATAGAGATTAAGATTATAAATCATAATTTCAAAAATTCTAATTCTAATACCGTTGGTGGTGTTGGTCTTCCAACCATTGTTTGATTGATGTATTGAGATAAAAAAATTAATGATTTTCAAAATATTTTAGGTCCTGGGTTGTACTCATGGAAAACTTTGCTTTAGTTCCTGAAATTTTAAACTCTTCAAAGTAAGCTTTTAATAAATAAAGATTTAAGAAAAGTTTGATCAGTTTTAAAGACAAATTTACAGTACTCTACCTTAGCGCTAGCACCTCCATAAGACTGCATCACTTATCTGTACTTTATTATAGTCATTAATTAACGTACCAGGGTTTTATATTTTATTTCAATAATTTATTCCCCCCCCCCAAAAAAAATATGGGCTTTATTCGCTGAATTGGGGTAAATGAATTTTTTGGGGGATAAGTATTAAATCGGATTGAAACCTTGCCTTTTTATTTTTTTTTTCAATATCTACAAAAATGTTATTCTTAAAATTTAAATCTCTGGAACGGAAGTGGCACATTGTGATAAACTACTTTTTTGGAACTGTTCTCTCTCTTTTAACTGAACCCTGTATTTTACTTAAGCGCACTGTGCCTGAGTGTGCCCTTCACTGTATTTTACTTTACTCACTACTGTACTGTACTGTACTGTATACTATGTTTAGACGGATAAAATTGCTTGTGATGGCTCTGAAGTACGATAACCCTAAACAGCAGGAGTCTACTTATAGGTAACACACTCGTAATAAATTCGGATTTAGATAAATTTATTGAGCTAAACAGGACTAATGATAACGATAAATAGATTTACTGACGAATTCTTTGATCAGCTAATTGGTTGATTCTATGATTTATGATTGATTGATTGATTGATTGGTTCATCCCTTATTGATGATTGATTGATTATGTAATGAATATGTTTGTTAAGGGTTCGACTAGAGTGTTGGTATGAGCTAATGCATCTACTGGGAAGAAACTTGAAACATCATGCAGGAGACTTGGTCAAGGTAGAAATAACAAATAAAACTTTTAGTCCTTATATTCCACTAGCCCCAGTACATCCAGTACAGTCCTAATTTACCACCAGCCCCAGTACATCCAGTACAGTCCTATTATACCACCAGCCCCAGTAAATCCAGTACAGTCCTAATATACCACCAGCCCCAGTACATCCAGTAATCCCACTTTCAGTAATTGGGATTAGAAGCAGCCTTGGACATTATGACTAATATCACTGCTATTACTCTCCATTCCTCATATTGCTCATATTACTCGTATTACTCTCATTATTTTCATTACTCTCATTACTCTCATTATTCTCATTATTCCCGTTACTCATATTCTCATATTCCTTCTTTTACTCTTATTTCTAAGAAATTACTACTTCTTTTCTCATATTCCTCCTATTCCTTCTATTCCGTCTATTCCTTCTTTTCATCCTATTACTCATTTTACTCAAATTCCTTCTATTTCTCCTATTCCTCCTATTACTCATACTACTGATATTTTTTTATTACTTCTATTACTCACTACTCAGTACTCATATTACTATTTTTGTACTCCTATTTCTCATATTACTCCTATTACTCCTTTCCCTTATATTACTCCTATTACTCCAATTACTCATATTACTCATATAACTCTATTACTTTTATTTTACTCCTATTTCCCATATTACTCCTACTATTCATATCACTCCTACTATTCATATCACTCCTACTATTCATATTATTCCTATTACTCCTATAACTCATATTGCTCATATTAAGCATAAGGATACATACAAAGTTAAAACCACTGTTAATGATCTTTTTTATTATTAGGAGTTTGTTATTTTCTGTTTTGGACCTAAATCTGGACCCTCCTCTAGGAATCCTGGGACTCCTAGAACTCCTGGTTCCCCTGCATCCACTCCTTCAAGGTACAGCAGGAATTATTTTTCACAAGAATATAATGGAAGATTACAGTTAAATGAAGATTTAAAATGTTCTCAAGTCTCATAAATATTTTGACCAATATCAAGATATTCAATTCGGGAAGGAAATCGATTTTCTTTGTCATATCTCTTAGGAGGGGAATATATTAAACCTCTTAATTTAATTGGGGAACAATTGCGAGTAAAATGTTTTCATTATTTTTTGATTTTTCCCTAAATCAAGCTTTTTTCTTTCTCAGTAAACTGCACGGGTTCGGAACGCCCACTAAACAAATGTCTCCGGCCAAGAAGTTCTCCTCCCTTGAGCGTGTATGTGTGGACTCCCTTGTTCAACTGTTTGGGGCCCGCCCTCTTCCTCAAACTCTACCACGCCCACTGCTATCAAAGCCCTTACCCGAGGTCGCTATAACTCCTCAACAGGTGATTCTAATCGGCTCATTTTTGGCTTAATTGGACTCTCAAATAAATCTTAAAGAGAACATCCAATTAGGATTTCTTTAACAAATATCTCATCCATTTACAATCCTTGATGATACAGAGCTTTTCAGGGTACTAATGTGAATCGGACGTGGCCCTCTTTCACTTGAAATTTACCTCTACATTACTAACTTCTCCTAAATCAAGAATTTTTCTCAAATTATAGTATCATTTTACTCAATATCTATAATTGCATGCACACTAGCCTATGTCAAAATCAGTCAACTTTTGGTACAGATAAGAGTGGTCGCTCATGTGGTGCCCAAGGACAGGTTTGTTAAACAAAATATTTTTATTTTTTATTTTTGACGAGCTTAAGGGTACCTGCTCGGGGCTTTAAGTTTAAAAAACGGCCGTTTTTTTGCGATTTTTACAATTTTTTAAAGCCTGAGCAGGGACCTTAGACAACAAGCAATCTTCATTTTTTTTCTTCCTCTGTTATCTACATGATGTATACTAACATATAAAAAACCACTCTTCTTGATATCTAAACCCTATTATTAAAAATAAAATATTGAAAATGTAGATTTTCAAAAAAAAACACGAAAAATTTGTATTTTCTTCTTGACTCCACTAACTTTCCTATTGGTCTGTACTGTGATGAAAAGTTAGTTCAAGAACTAACAGATGGAAAACGCCTGAAAAAGGACAGGATTGCAATTTCAGTGAGAATTGATAATCAGACAGAGCTCCTTGGAATCCCTGGCAATGATTCTGGTACTGGTGAAGCCCAAGTAGAGCTAATGAAACCACTTCTGGAGCAGTATAATCTAATGGATAAGATTAAATTCATGTGTTTTGATACAACTGCATCAAATACAGGACAACATTCTGGTGTCTGTACCAGAATTGTTAGGCTGATTCAGAACCCAATTCTTCATTTTGGGTGTAGGCACCATGTTAATGAACATCATGTAGTTCATTTTTGGAAGAATTATCCTGGAAGTAAGACCACTGTTCCTGATAATCAATTGTTTAAAAAGTCGAAACCCTAATGGAACCACATAGATACTGGCCTAAAAACTAAACTTAACAAACTTGTCATACACCCTGGCTCCTTTCTATCTGAGGCAAAATCAGAAGCTCTGCAAGTTGCCAAAAATATTATCAACTTCGATGTGATGAACCGGGTACATTTACTTATATCATCTCAGAAATTTATTTTAATCCACTTAACAATTAACATTCAATTTAACAGCAAATTATCATAAATTGTTGATCAGGGGGGAAATGGAAGCGTAGGGACTATAAAGAACTTGCAGAACTAGTAGTAATGGTCTTGTCAGTGGATATTAGGTTCAAGCTACATATACCTGGAGCCCTTCACAATGCCCGGTTTCTGGCTAAGGCCATATACTTATTGAAGATGTTTCTACTAATTGAACATGTTCCTGGCTTAACAAATGATGAGGAGAGAGAGGTCACAGAGATGGCTACATTTATCAGTCTGTTTTATCCAGAATGGTTCTTGAGAGCTGAAATATCTAACATAGCTCCAGCTCAGGTAAAAATTTAACTTAGAATTTAAATTATAAGAAACAGCTTCCTCTTGAAGGTTTTTAAAAATTATAAACTATCTACCTTGCACTCGTCATTAATTTTATTTTTTTGTAGTTCACAATCATTTCTCATTTGAAGTTTAGAACATTTAATCCATAGATTTGTTTAACCTTTTAAGTTTTTCACACAAATGAATGTACTTCAGGACATTAAAGCTCTCTGGCAGATGAGCAGATTTAAGGAGTTTAACCTAGACTCTGCAATCTGCATCAACAACAATAACATCCATACTTCGACACAGTTGGTATCTGGACCCAGCAGTAGTTGTTTTTGCTTTGGCAGCTGAAGATTATCCTAACAGAGGGGAAATGACCAAGAAGCTATTTTCTATACCTCGTCCAGAGGATTTTCCTCTGGATAGGCAGGGCAGTCCTGGATGATCTTTGACATGCTTAAACATAACAGGGCTGAGATCCAGTGGATGAAACTTCCTCCTGAGTTCTGGAATACCCATGATTTCTACTGTGAGTTTACTGCTTTCATCAAGAATTTAGCAGTAGTAAATGATGCATCTGAAAGAGCTATAAAGCTTGTGCAAGAGCTGATTGACACAGCAAGATCAGAAGAAAAACGCCAGGACAAATTTCTGTTTTCCAATGTCTACAAACGAAACCGTAAGGGTCGAAAGAAGACTGACTATAAAGCTGCAGCTCTTAAGGGCATATCTGAAGATGCTATTGAGTAGAAGTTAGGACTCAACCCTGATGACTCTGTTTTTTAATCACTGAAGGAAATTTTTTATATTTATTGAAGAGTTGTCTTCTAAAAGATCAAACCTCAAAATTTCCATTTTCGTGTTTTTTTTGAAAATCTACATTTTCAATATTTTATTTTTAATAATAGGGTTTAGATATCAAGAAGAGTGGTTTTTTATATGTTAGTATACATCATGTAGATAACAGAGGAAGAAAAAAAATGAAGATTGCTTGTTGTCTAAGGTCCCTGCTCAGGCTTTAAAAAATTGTAAAAATCGCAAAAAAACGGCCGTTTTTTAAACTTAAAGCCCCGAGCAGGTACCCTTAAGCTCGTCAAAAATAAAAAATAAAAATATTTTGTTTAACAAACCTGTCCTTGGGCACCACATGAGCGACCACTCTTATCTGTACCAAAAGTTGACTGATTTTGACATAGGCTACTGGTTATGTTAAATATTTATGTTTAATTTTACAGTCAAGTTTTATATAAAATATATGATTATTAAAAAAGTAATTTTCCTTAGTAAGATAATGTGAATATTAAAAGCATTTAAAAGAAGGACATTTCTTAGAAAAATATATTCATTGAAAGAACCTTTTATTGACGGAAAAGAATTTTTACAAACAAAAAATTATCTTAATACGTGAAAATTTAACGTTAAAACGTTTATAAAAACCTTTCCAATTTAGGGAAGTATGAATTTTAGATTTTCAAATCAATAAAATCGAAAAATTGTTTTGCAGTTTGATCAGATGGTTTGTAGAACCAAAGATCAAGATAGATTGCGCATAAGACGACATTTTTTATCTTGAAAGATATAAATGTACAGTGATGTTTAAAAGATATTCCTATTATATAGATTACCTAGGTCGATTGTGAACATTTGCTGTTCTTATGTCATTGAGTACTTGTGGTGTACATGAGTTCTGTAGAGAGAAATTTAAGTTAGTTTAGTCCTTCT